TAACACTCTGAGAAATCCAAGCCCTGATATTGATTATGATTGACTTCCTACTAATTGTTCTGGGTGCTTCCTTCAGGCAAGATTCATGACCAAAAAAAAAAAAAAAAAAAAAATCACAAAAGCTGAAAGCAAAATGTACTTGCCAGATTGCAAGTTTTATATACAACAGAGTAAAACATGATTTAATTAGAAACAAAAAATCTGTTTCCTAGGACTGCAGTCAAGTAAAGTTTTGAATTTAGGGGGCCAGATGGTTGTCTAAAATAGCATATATTTTGGAATCTTTGGTAACAGCAGACTTAAATCAACTTGTTGAGAGGTTTGCTTTATTCAGGTCAACCAACAGTTGCTACATCCAAGCTGTCTGAAATTCAGTAAAATTCAAAAAACAAAAAAAGCCTTAATTCTTATATTCCAGATTTCTACTGAGATAAAGCATACAAGTTATTTCCTATTCCCTGTTTAAAGATTGGATAACATCATGGAAATTTACTCAATATTTTATAAAAAAAGAAATCTAAATACAAATATTTCAAATAAATATAAACTGAAAGAGATAATTGACAGCTAGATCAAATTTAATAAAAATCATGATGATAGAATACTTACATATTACACAAATATATTCTTTTAATATTCATGTTAATTCAGGATTTGAGATGTGATTTATAAGCAAAATTGGAGAAAATCACAATTAGAAAGAACTGAGACTTTAAAGTCATTTAGAAAATATACTAAAATTATTAAATTATTTATCATTAAAACCCACTAAAACAGAAATATTAGCAATTTCCTTCACTTTCCTAATAATGCATTTACTTGTATGGCATTTGCAATGTGACTAAATGATTGCTAATATCCTTTGGCATTTTAATATTTGTTAAATCTATCATTTACCTCAACAATAGAAAAGAATAAACTTCATTAATTTTTAATTATTTATTAAGCAAATAAATATCAAGCAGTTAAATGCAAAAGAAACTTTTTGATGTGAGTATGCTTAGAGAATAAATATATCAAGTTATTGTTCCCATGGTACTTTCATTTGTTTGTGGATAGAAAGGCAGAAAATAAAGAAATATGTAAGTAGTAATGTGTTTTAAAAAACTTAATGCAATGGACTAGAGAGCACAGGAGAATGCTTCTATTTTTGAATACAGCCAAATTAAATGTGTGCAAGAGCAAAAGAGAGTTGAAGTGGAGAAAACAATTTTTTTCTTTTTTTGTACTTTAAGTTCTGGGGTACATGTGCAGATCATGCAGGATTGTTGCATAGGTAAATACATGGCAAGATGGTTTGCTGCCTTCAACCCCTCGTCACCTATATCTGGCATTTTTTTCCTTGTTATCCCTCCCAAAACTCCTCACCCCCTACTGTTCCCCTATAGTCCCCCACCAAAGACCCCAGTCTGTGATGCATTTTTTACTACCTTTAGCCACTTTTCTATTGAATGTGAAAAGGAAGTGACATTTGTACATATTCCTGGGTAAAAGACAAAAGGAAAGATATAAGCATACTATTTTTAATTTTTTATTTAAAATATAAAATAAGGCCGGGCGCGGTGGCTCAAGCCTGTAATCCCAGCACTTTGGGAGGCCGAGGCGGGTGGATCACGAGGTCAAGAGATCAAGACCATCCTGGTCAACATGGTGAAACCCTGTCTCTACTAAAAATACTAAAAATTAGCTGGGCATGGTGGCATGTGCCTGTAATCCCAGCTACTCAGGAGGCTGAGGCAGGAGAATTGCCTGAACCCAGGAGGCGGAGGTTGCGGTGAGCTGAGATGGCGCCATTGCACTCCAGCCTGGGCAACAAGAGTGAAACTCCGTCTCAAAAAAAAAAATAAAATAAAAAAATAAAAAAAATAATATATATATATATATATATAAAATAAAAATAAAAATGGATAAAATAAAATACAAATGGAGAAATGTATCTATACATTCATCCTCATTTTACTCCAACTATAACAAATATTATTCCTCATCTGTTGAAAAATTAATGTTGTTGATTAATCTCGATTACTTTTCTTGCATATTCAAAATTAACTCTCAAATATCTGCATCACATCAGCATTAAAAAAAGATTCTACTTTAAATATTTCAGTGTGTATTATTAGTTTTTCTTTTGATTTTGTATGTTTTATAAAAATAATCTTTTTAAAAGGCAGAATCATTATAGATTCACAAATATAACTTGCTACAAAGATAATTGGGAGTTTGTTGTCTGAAGTAACCTAAAAATAAAGAGATTACATATTGGTATCCTAGATATCATTCTGTCTCATAATCTTACTTGCTTTTTGGCCAGCTAACTACATTTTTGCCATTTATTTTTATTATTTATAAAATTGAACTACAAATAAGTTTAATAGCAGTATGGGACACTATGTCATATTTAATAAGTATTTAGGAATAAAAAATTCATTGGCAAACATTAGATTTTTTAAACGAAGAATTTTTAGTAATTTTAAAATTATATTCCTTAGAATAGTAGTATGTATTTCTGTGTCTTTCTCCCTTTGTTTAATGAGATTAAATATACCAATTAATTTCACAGGCCTCACTTTTTAAAAAATTTCAAGGAACTAGCACAGAGATTTGTAGTTTTACTCAATATTCATTTTTTCTCTTATCATTAGTGAGGGAAGAACAAATTATGCTGTGTTTGGCGCTACCTAGCTAGGAAAACATTTTTCAGTCCCTCTTGCAGGAAAGACTTAATGTGTAATTTGGTGCTACTCAGTGAGATGTGAGGGAAAATGATATGTAAAATTTCTCAATTACATTCTTCAGGAGAAACTTTTTTCTCCTCCTTCTTCGTAATCACTGGTATAAGAAGGGGGGGTGCTAATGGACCAGCCTTGGCCTTGCAGATGAAGATGAGAAAGCAAGAAGCTAGAAGGAGACTGTGTACCTGTGTGACCTCCAGTAAGTCAGGTGCCCTATTCTGTGGGCCACCAATCAGCTTAAACTTTTGTCTAATTGAGAAAACGAGGGTTTTCTCTTATTTGAGGCACTGTTGTTTACTATGGAAACAAATAAATAGCCTAGCTAATAAAGAATGTGCACTTTTAAATATTCAAATATGAGACCTGTAGATGTTGCAACATTGTAATTATTATATCCCCATTATTGAAGAATACAGTTTGTTAAAAATAAATGCTTCTTCACTAAAGTAGATTATATAATAATACAGTAATGCCTCCCTTTACATAACTTGATGTTCAGGTGCTTTAGAGCTTTTATAATCTTTTTCTTCAATTCCTGAAGACATGTTCTCATAAATATAATTTATCTTTTTTTTCTTGGTAATGTAGCAGAAATATAAAAATTATTTCCAAAACATTCTTCCTGCTTCCCAGTCCAAACACAGGTCACTCTCTTCAGTCACCCTCTACCACATGGCTGTATTCACCATCAGGTACGGTAGCCACAAATTAAATTCAAAGTCCCAGGAAAGCTAATATTTCAGATCTTTTATCCCCAGCTCTCTTTCTGAGGTCTCTCACCACTCCCCTCTATTTCCCAGTTTAAGGAAGCTATATTTACTATACCCACATACTAACAAACACAACATGTATTCTCTTCTCCCTCTTTTCCCAGTCAGGAACAGAAAAATACCAAAGCATCCTGTGGGTTCCTGATACATATACACAGTTTAAGTCCAGTACTCCAAGAATAAAATTGGCCTTTTCAAAATGAGACAATGGCCAAAATAAGATCTTGCATTTAACTATCAAATTAGTGAGCTACAAGAAAACCAGAGCTTATAGATTATTAATCAATAACTTAATCTAGTTTGCCTACATATACGGCTTGAAAATATCATATAATCATCACTTTGACTCCTAATTTTTTTAAAAAAAAGCAAGATTAAAAGGAACAACAAACTAAATAGGCCTGTTATAATATGCTTTATTGTGTTATATCCTTTTGTCTGAGAAAAGTTCCAGAAACAATCTCCTGGATCAGAATTTCCCAAATTCTGTTCCCCTTTCTGAGCCTCCAATAAGTGAGAGGTGAGGTGCTAAGAACAGATGGTGGCGCAATAACTCACCTTCAGTCATAATTAACTATATTAACTAACATTCATATTTACAGCTTCAATAAATGAGTTCCATCTACTTCAGAATTATACTTTAATTGAAGAAAATGTTTAATAAGCTTTTACTGAATAAAAAACCATTCTAGGATCATTCAAAATATTGAAATCATAAATTACCTGGCTTATCTGCATGACGATACTTTATTCCTTCTTGACATTTATTTCTAGTGAAATAAAGTGAACTCACATAAATATGTACTTAAAAATAAAGTTAGTGTTTTTATTCAGGTTATCCAAGAAGAAACAAAGAGCATTCACTAAATATTTAACGAGACATCTAATACAATATTGCCTCTACTGGGAATATAATAGGAAATAAGGAGAGCAAGGTACGCCTTCTAAATGGGCAATGGCAAATTCAAGTAAATATAAGTGTAAAAACAGTCAAACATAAAGAGGATTTTGACAGAGAATGTTTCTCAAAATGGGGCATATTTTATTTTGGAAAGGATTTCAGAGAGGACATAAGAGAAGATATGATTATTTCAGCTAAAACTAAATGATGAGAAGAAGCTTGCCACATAAAGATGCAGAAGAAAATAATTTTAGACAAGGGAAAGGGCAATTGGAAACCTCTCAATATTAGAATAAACGTATTATTTTTTGGTAATTAGAAAATAGGTCCCTCTGTCTTGATTGCAATAAGTATATTGTCAACGAGTTTGTGGGGGCCACATTATACTCTGTAGTAAGTGCTGTGGGGTTGGGGTTTAGTCTAAGAGAATGAGAGAGCTACTAGGTGCTATTTGCTTCTTTTTTTTCAAAGGAGATTGTTGCTATTTGGCAGAAGGGCAAATGAAACAAAAAAAAATCAGTTAGGAGGTTCATTCATAGATCCTGAGAATCAAATTAATTTCAAAAGATAAAATCATTGGCATAAATAGACAATTAAAAGATGAGGTGTTCCATAAGTGAGATAATTGAGTTTTCAAGCTCATATATGAGATGTGCCTCCCTCAAACCTTAGGACTTCAAGACATTGCCTTATATGAAAACACAAAGAAGCAAAACCAAAAAATATAATTGTAAAAACAAGTTTTATAAACATATTGATAGCAAATACATAATATGCAGACTGTAAAAACATTTTAAAAATCAATGGATTTATCAGTGAGCAAAAAGCATGTCTTGCTCTTATGTTTACAGAAAAACAAACATAAAATTTAGAGATGGACTTCTCTTTATCTTTGTAGAGACAAAGAGAAAATAACTGGTATACTTTTGGATATTGTGATTGTAGGAAGACATCCCTGAGGAGAAGATATTTCAACTGAGAACTGAGCAATTATAAAAAGCCATCAATAAAGTGTTTTCCAGAATATTTCTCAGATACAGCTATCTAGATGCCCAGGAAGAGTCAGAAAGCAGCAATTTGAAGGTAGGCAAAGGCGGGGCACCATGGCTCACGCCTATAATCCCAGCACTTTGGGAGGCCAAGGCAGGCAGATCACGAGGTCAAGAGATCGAGACTATCCTGGCCAACATGATGAAACCCTGTCCCTAATAAAAATACAAAAAAAAAAAAAAAATTAGCTGGGCATCATGGCACGCGCTTGTGGTCCCAGATACTTGGGAGGCTGAGGCAGAAGAATCGCTTGAACCCAGAAGGCAGAGGCTGCAGTGAGCAGAGATTGTGCCACTGCACTCCAGCCTGGTGACAGTGCAAGACTCCGTCTCAAAAAAAAAAAAAAAGAAGATAGGCAGAAATGTCAGAATTTCACTGTGGTCTGAATTATGGATCCCCAAAAAAGAAATTGTAATTCTTGTCTGGACACCAAGAAATTGTTGTCATTTATCAACTTCAGTTGTTATGAAGAGGGCTATTAACATAATTGCTGTTATTTTTGCAACAATATGATGAACTACCAAAACAAGCTGAAATCCAGCCACATTCATTCTCTTGGTCTATAAATATTTGTTTCTGTCTAGCTTTAGATTATATATGTAATCTATTTAAAAGGTTATTTAAATTTTTTAGGTCCTCATGTCTTGCTTAGTTAACATATATTTAAATGAAAATAAATATTTTTATGAAGATGTACAATTGGCAAATAAATTAACTATAATCAACTTCTGTAAATATTTTCCTTCCTCTTCAAATGTATAAAGGACATCTGAAAGAGTCCCAATTTTATATTTCAAAGTCTTTTGTCTTCTATTGTTTATTGTGTTGGGATGAAGTGGAGAATATTTCTTGGATAACTGATTCTGAAACTTACCAAAACAATTAATATGAACTCTCAAGTTTTCCTTGAAACATTATGTCATAAAGAACAATCTGGGCAAAACCCTGTTATCACAGTTCTGTCTCTATGACCCAGAGCTTTTGGACTAATTTCTCCCACTAAAGAATTATATATATATATTTTTTAAGAATATAAGCCATTATATGAATATTATGAAGTACAACATGATTTACCTTGGGAGATTAGATAGAAATGTATATCTGTGAATTATAAATGATAATGTCTGAAAGTCTTTCACTGAAAACGTTCAATCTTAATGACGTAACTAAGAACTCTCTGTAATAATGATGTTCAGAATGCAAAAATACAGAAAATGTAGGATATGATGGAAAATATGAGTTTAAGCCCATACAGCTGAAATGTGGATAATTCCTTGCTCATTTTCCATTATGCATTATCACAAAGAAGAACTTCTTTTTTACTCATCTGTTTCCAGGTCTAGCAATAGCTATTTTCTTTATTTTATTTTATGTATTTATTTTATTTATTTATTTATTTATTTATTTATTTATTTATTTATTTTAGGCATGAGGGTGCATGTGAAAGTTTGTTGTATAAGTAAACTAGTATTGCATGGGATTGTTGTACAGATTATTTTATCACCTAGATATTAGGCAAGCTCAGTACTCAATAGTTATCTTTTCTGCTCCTCTCCCTCATCCCATTCTCCACCCAGAATCAGACTCCAGTGTCTGTTGTTTCCTTCTTTTTGTTCAAGAGTTCTCATTATTTAGCTCCTACGTGTAAGTGAGAATATGTGGTATGTGTTTTTCTATTCCTGCATTAGTTGACTAAGGATAATGGCATCCAGCTCCATTTTTGTTTCCACAAAACACATGACTCATTTTTTATGGCTGCATAGTATTCCATGGTGTATATGTACTACATTTTATTTACTAATTATTTACAGGTATTTAGGTTGATTCCATGTATTTGCTAATGTGAATATGCTGCAGTGAACATTCGTGTGCATATGTCTTCATAATAGAATGATTTGTTTCTTTGGATCTATATCCAGTAATGAGATTGCTAGGTCAAATGGTAGTTCACATTTAGCTCTTCGAAGAATTTCCATGTTTTCTACAATGTTTGAACTAATTTACACTCCCACCAATTGTGTACAAGTGTTCCCTTTTCTCCATAACTTCTCCAGCATGCATTACTATTTTTTATTCGTTTTTATTTTTTATTTTTATTTTTTACTTTTTAGTAATATCCATTCTGACTGGTGTAAGATGTTATCTCACAGTGGTTCTGATTTTCATTTCTGTAATGGCAAATGACACAGAGCTTTTTTTCATGTGCTTGCTGTCCACATGTATGTTTTCTTCTGAAAAGTGTTTGTCCATGTCCTTTAGCCACTTTTCAATGGGGTTGTTAGCTTTTCCTTTGTAAATTTAAAAAATTTCCTTATAGATGCTATGACCTAGCAACTGTCTTTTTTTTTTTTTTTCTTAATTTCAAAGCATTCTATAAATTAAGAACCAACAGCATGGTAGATGGGCCATTCCATGACACTTGCCATCTTTCCTCTCTTCATAGCTATAAGACAATATTTTGGAAAAAGAGTTGCTGAGAAATGCCACTTAGAGAATCTCTGCACCTTCATTATTATACATCATTGACTAAAGTGTGGGGTAAAGCATCCTATTAAAAATGAAGTTAAGAAGTTTAGATAAACTTTAAAATTTATGCCCCAAATCCTATTGTATGTCAATCTATTATAAAAATAAAACAACATGATTCTAGATGGAATGTACCTCAAAATAATAAAAACTATGACAAACCCACAAGCAATATCATACTGAACAGGCAAAAACTGGAAGCACTCCCTTTGAAATCTGGCACTAGACAGGATGTCCTTCCTCACCACTCCTATTCAATATAGTATGGGAAGTTCTAGCCAGAACAATCAGGCAAGAAAAAGAAATAAAGGGCATTCAATTAGAAAAAGAGGAAGTCAAATTGTCTCTATTTGCAGACAACATCATGGTATATATAGAAGACCCCAATGTCTCAACCCCAAATCTCCTTAAACTGATAGGCAGCTTCAGCAAAGTCTCCAGATACAAAATCAATGTGCGGAAGTCACAAGCATTCCTATAACCCAGTAACAGACTAACAGAGAGCCAAATCCGGAGTGAACTATCATTCACAATTGCTACAAAGAGAATAAAATACCTAGGAATACAACTGACAAATGATGTAAAGGACTCCTCTTCCAGGAGAAGAGGTCCTTTACATCATTTGTCAGTTGTATTCCTAGGTATTTTACATCATCATTTGTCAGTTGTATTCCTAGGTATTTTACATCACACAAACCACCGCTCAAGGAAATAAGAGAGGCACAAACAGATGGAAAAACTCCATTCTCATGGTCCGGAAAATGGCCATGCTGCCCAAAGTAATTTATAGATTCAATGCTATCCCCATCAAGCTACCATTGATCTTCTTCACAGAACTGAAAAAACAAACAAACAAACAAAAAACTTTTAATTTAATATGGAACCAAAAGAGAGCCCACCTAAATAAGACAATCTGAAGCAAAGAGAACAAAGCTGGAGACATCATACTACCTGACTTCAAACAATACTATAAGGCTGCAGTAATCAAAACAGCATGGTACGGATATCAAAAGAGATGTGTAGACCAATGGAACAGAACAGAAGCCTTGGAAGCAATGCCACACATCTACAACCATCTGATCTTTACAAACCTGACAAAAAGAAGCGATGGGGAAGCGGGTCCCTGTTTAACAAAGGCTATTGGGAAAACTGGCTAGCAGTGTGCAGAAAGAAGAAACTAGACCCCTTCCTGACACCTTATAGTAAAATTAACTCCTGATGGATTAAAGACTTAAACGTAAGCCCTAACACCATAAAAGCGCTAGAAGAAAACCTAGGTAAAACCATTCAGGACATAGGCATAGGCAAGTACTTCATGACTAAAACACCAAAAGCAATGGCAACAAAAGCCAAAATAGACAAATGGGACCTAATTAAGCTCCACATCTTCTGTACAGCAAAAGAAACAATCATTAGAATGAACCAGTAACCAACAGAATAGGAAAAAACTTTTGCAGTTTATCCATTTGACAAAGGGCTAATTTCCAGAATCTACAAAGAACTAAAACAGGTTTACCAAAAAAAAAAAAAAAAAAAAAAGAAAGGAAAAAAAATTCAAAAGTGGGAGAAGGATATGATCACATACTTTTCAAAAGAAGACATATATGAGGCCAACAAACATAAGAAAAATGCTCATCATCACTGGTCATTAGAGAAATGCAAATCAAAACCACATAGAGATACCATCTCATGCCAGTTAGAATGGTAATCATTAAGAAATCTGAAGACAATAGATGCTGGAGAGGATGTGGAGAAATGTGAACACTTTTACACTGTTGGTGGGAGTGTAAATTAGTTCAACCATTGTGGAATGCAGTGTGGCAATTCCTCAAGGATCTAGGAATAGAAACACCATTTGACCTAGCAATCCCATTACTGGGTATATACCCAAAGGATATAGGTTCATTGTGGCACTGTTTACAATAGCAAAGACCTGGAACCAACCCAAATGCCCATCAATGATAGACTGGACAAAGAAAATATGGCACATATATACCATGGAATACTAGGTAGCCATAAAAAATGATGAGTTTATGTGCTTTGTAGGAACATAGAACAATCTGAAAACCATAATTCTCAGCAAACTGACACAAGAACAGAAAACCAAACACCACGTGTTCTCA